CACCCTCTCCGAGGGGGCCAAAGTTTCACCCCCTATAGTCAGCGATGGACTCAGCTGACTATGCCGAGACGCCGGTAACCACAGCCACTCGGTCTTGGACGGGTTGAGCCTGAGTCTGTTCCTCCCCATCCAGACCCTCACGGCCTCCAGACACCGGGTCATCACGTCAAGGGCATCGTTGGGGTCATGGGGTCATCGTTGGGGTCATGGGGTCATCGTTGGGGTCATGGGGTCAAGGGTCATCGTTGGGGTCATCACGTCAAGGGTCATCGTTGGACTCATGTTTAAGGAAATACATTTTAAAGACTGAATATGTGGCATTTTTCATTGCTAATTTCAGGAATTGATAATAGAACAGAATAAAAAGTTGGAAGGGACTTTGGAGTTCTTCTAGTTCAACCCCCTGCTCAAGCAGGAGACACTATACCATTTCGAACAAATGGCTGTCCAATCTTTGTCAACTTTTGGAGGCAAGCCAGTTCATTGATTAATTGTTTTCACTGTCAGGGAAATTGCTCCTTAGTTTTAGATTGGATTTCTCTTTGATAAATTTCCATCCATTGCTTCTTGTCCTGCCTTCAGGTGCTTTGGAGCAGGGCTTTTCAACCTTTTCACAGATTGTACCACATTTAAGATATGGCAATATTCGAGTACCACCAGTCGCCTAGCAAGATGTCAAAAATGTGACTAAAAAGGGGGGGGAAAGTGATAAAGTACAGGTAGTTCTCAACTTACAATAGTTCGCTTAGTGACTGTTCAAAGTTACAATGGCAGTGAAAAAAGTGACATGACCGTTTTTCATACTTATGACCGTTGCAGCATCCCCAGGGTCAATCTACATTTGGATGCTTGGCAACTGATTCATATTTATGATGGTCACAGTGTCCCAGGATCATGTGATCCCCTTTTGCAACCTTCTGACAAGCAAAGTCAATGGGGAAACCAGATTCACTCCTTTTATATCCTCTCTTCTCTCCTCCCTCTTTTGTATCCTCTCTTTTCTCCCCCTCCTTCTTTTATATCCTCTCTTCTCTCCCCTTTTATATCCTCTTTCCCTTCTTTTATATATTTTCTCTCCCCTCCTTTTATATCCTCTTCCCTCTTCTTATATCCTCTCTTCTCTCCCCCCTTCTTTTATATCCTCTTCTCTCCCCTTCTTTTATAAGCCTCTCCTCTCTCCCCTCCCCCTTTTCTCTTCCGTGCACCCTCAGCTGATTCCTCTCAAGGCTGCACTTCTCCATCTCTCTTTTGCAGTCCCCTTCTCTTTCTCCCGTTGTCTTTTTTTCTTTTCCTCTCCCGCCAAAACCTTTTATAGCCTCTCCTCTCTCCTCCCCTCCTTTTCTCTTCCGTGTGCACCAGAAGCGCTGATTCTGGGGCTTCTGTCTCGCCTCTGCAACCCTGCAGAAGCGCGCGGCGATCCTGGGCTTTCCCCAGCCCCTATAGCCCTGCAGAAGTGTTGATCAGCTGTAGCTGCATGCAGCGATCCTGGGCTTTGCCCATCTCCGACAGCCCTGTAGTTCCAGCTGTCTCTCCTTCAGGCTTGTGCGGTGCTGCCGCCACTTCAGCTCATTCCCATCCCCCGCTATACTTGTCGCATATCACTGGCCAGTTGCCAAAGTACCACCGGTGGTACGGTTCCAGAAAGCCTTGAAAATCTGGCTCTAGTCTCAACCTGGGGTTGATATTTGTCACAATTAATGGCCCCTGTTTTGTTTTGTGGGATTGGTTAGCAGAGTATTTCACTCTAGGATGCCTATTGATTTAATATTTCTTGCTGGTTTTTGTTCATTAATTATACACCATCCTAAGTCAACTGGAGATAGCCTGATGAATTTAAATGATTAAATAAAATAAGATTTTTTTTACTTCAAGAGTTTATTATAACAATTTCCAAATATTACAAAGCTTTTCTAACTACAGTTTAGTGAAACAATAGTATGAAAGTAAATACAGTTTTGTATCTCTCAGAGCTGGAGTGGACCGGAGAAGTTGCTTGCCTTAGATGAACTGATTGATAGTTGTGAACCTACCCAAGTGAAGCATATGATGCAAGTGATTGAACCCCAGTTTCAACGAGATTTCATTTCCTTGCTGCCCAAAGAGGTGAGGATTCTTATTTAATATTGGGCTCTGGGTACTGTTTGACTATATAATCTATCATTTGCCACCCTTAAGCATTTCCTACTAATTATAGTCCTCAATATTTTCAGCATAACACTGCTAATTGGTGTTAAAAAAGTTTGGAAGGTGAATACTGCTATGATTTAATAATGTAGTTCTTAGCTTAAATAAATGCTTGCAAGACCAATGACTATATTTCATTGACTAACTTACTGTATGTCCCAGGCTGCTTTGTTACGATCATTTTTTATTTGTAATTTTCTTGAAGCTTTATAACTAATTTAAAATAATTTAGGTTAAATATTTTCTATCTTGTTAGCATTTAGCTTCCCGAAGGTTGGATATTATCTTTCCTGGAGGGACTAGTTTCATTATATATGACATAATCTCTTGTAGAGTTTGTTAGGATTCTCCTTGAATTAAGTAGACAACCTATTTATTCAAACTTATAAATCTTTATTTCAATCTTAAACATAGACAAGTCTTATTCATTCATTTATTCAGTTTTTGTGGCCACCTATTCACACATCATTCTGATTAATTCACAAAGTTTAAATCAGTAGAACAGTTAAAACTGGGAGGGGCATGCAATTACAAAATATTCACCCATATTAAAGGGTACTACTCTTTATGCCTTACCTTACTGCCTGCAGAAAGAGCCTGGTCTTCAGCACTTTCTTGAAGGCAGATAACATTGGGTTTGTGCAGATGTTGAGGGAAATGTTCCAGAAGGCATATACAATGAGAGAGACAACACCTTCATGAGGTGACTCTGTTTAATATATGAGACCCAAAACATGCTGAGTTTATTGGATCTTACCAAATGGGCAGACATAATAGGATACAACCAGTCCTGCTTCTATATCATGAAGGACATGTTAGATAATAATTAGCACCTTGAATTGAATTCTCAAACCTACTGGTAACTAATACAACTTGTATACAGATAGTCCTCAATTTACAACCATATTTGGGACCAGAATTTCAGTTGCTAAGTGAGATTTTACGACTCTTTTGCAAAGTTGTTAAGTGAATCATGCAGTTATTAAGCAAATCTGACTTCCCCCTTGACTTTGCTCATGAGACACCGGCTGGGAAGGTTGCAAATGACTCTGGGATGCTGCAACCATTGTAAATATATGCCACTTGCCAAGAGCCTGAACTTTGATCATGCGACCATGGGGATGCTGCAACGGTTGTAAGTCGTGAGGACCAATTAGTCATTTTTTTCAGTGCCATTGTAACTATAAACGGTTGCTAAAGAAATAATTATTAGTCAAGGATGACCTCTAATAGTGTTACAGGAAGGTACCATGCTGCAGCTGGCACCAACCCATACTGTAACAGTTGTACTTTCTGAGTGCTTTTCAAGGATAGTCTCATGTTGAACATATTGTAGTGATTTTAGTGGGAATGGACTGAGGCATGAGTGATCATGAGTAGGGCCTCCCAAGTTGGCCCATCAGTTGAATATGTACAAAGACCTTCCTAACCAAAGAGGTCAACTGCTTCTTGAGCACAAAAGAAACACATATTGTGAGCTAGCTCTGATTGGGGAAGTGCCACCCAATCCACAGCTAAAGTTGGTAAATCCCCAGAAACATATAAATCATTCTTGCCAGATTGAGTTTCTCTATAGTAAAAATATTTTTGCTTAAATATAAGACCCTGGTATTATTTTTTCAAATCTTTTGCCTAAAAATTAAACATTCAGTTTATCTAAAATCCTTTCTCATAGAAGGGTGTCTACCGTGTCTTTGAAGAATATCAGTAAAGTTGTCACAGGGAATACATGTGCTAAGTATTAATTAGAAAGGAAAGTTTAAGTGGACAAGTAGGTTTTAATTACTTTTTTTAGTTGACCATTTTTACAAAGAATGCTTTCCATTACCTTTATGTTTCAATTAATTGGGTTTTTTGCCAATTTGTGAAATTAGCTGAAAAAATGTCATCAGTATTCTGTATAATTTTGAGTGTAAGATTATTTTGTCAAATGCCTTTCTCATGTGAAAACTATCACTTTGCCAAAGTCCATGGAAGACATATTTGGGAATTATTAATATCTCCTTCTGTGCTCAACTTGATCTTCATAATGTGAGACATGACAATGTCCATCCCATAATTAAGTTTGAATCAGAATATTGGTTAAGTAAGCATTCCTCAAACTGAACCACAAAAAAGAAGATATTGCTGGGAATATCAGTAAAGTTGGGAAGCAAAATGGAATGTAGCAATCTGAATTATTTTCCTTTAGGCCAAAGTTATCATCTTTTAGCACCATAATACCTGCACTCTCTGCGCCTTCCTTTCCCCATGCACACTGCAACAAAACATAAGTTTAACCTCAAATATGCTTAGAATGTTCAATTTCCTGAAATTTGATATAGGTGATGGAAATGATTAAAAAATACAGCCAACCAAACAATATCTATCCTGATAGGTTGAATGTGGCTGTTCAAAACTGGCTAATACATTTTAAAAATGCATCCATCAGAATAGGATAATATATTGTTAAATGTGTTCATTAAAATTTGCCAAATTTTGTATACACCAACAGTCCCCAACCTTTGTGGCTTTGGCTGCCTGATGGAGGGGAGGAAGAGGGGACCTGGGCCCAGTGGGCCAGTGCGCATGCGTGCACATAGCTTAACTTGTACGAGTGGCAGGTACACGAACATGCAGCTCAATTTGTGCAAGTTCAACTGCGCACATCTGTGCATGTGTGCCGGCCTGCCACTCATGCATTATGAGCTGTGTGCACATCAATCTGCTGCTCGTGCAGCCTGGTTGTGAATAGGCCACGCCCAGTAGTGGGCCGCAGCCCAGGGATTGGGGATCCCTTGTATACAGGTAGTCCTCGACCATCATGTATCACATAAACAGATACATGAAGATGCAACAAATTAATCCATTGCACAGAAAGTCTATGGAGATTGTCAATCATCCAGGTCATAGTTGTTCCAAAGATGCTTTTTCACGAGGCAACTGAACTTTCTTGTTTTTCTTAGAAGACGTTTTGCTTCTCATCCAAAAAGCTGCTTCAACGCTGACTGGATGGTGGGGAACGGAAGAATAAAGTGAATTTTAAATTTTACAGACAAAAACATGGCTGCACCATGGGTTCACCTCTGCCCCCCATTTTGCCAATCTCTACATGGAAGAGATAGAAACCAAAGCCCTAAACTCCTTCACAGGAATTCCACCATTCACTGTGGACAATATTTGGCTCAAGATCAAAACACAGGAATTGGAAACATTCACCAAACATATCAATGTGGTTGGATAGATACATCAAATTTATATGTGAAGATGTTTAGGAAAATAGTCTAGCCTTTCTGGACTGTGCAGTATACATTAAGGAAGACAGAAGCCTTAACACTGAAGTTTACAGAACCCCTCCTCCCCCCACAGATCAATATTTACATTTGATTTCCACCAGCCACTGGACCACAAAATGGGAGTTATCAGAACCCTACACCATTGAGCTGAAGGCCTGCCTAACAGCAAAGATGGAAAAGAAAAAGAACTAAAACACATCAAGGAAGCTCTCAGAACTTGTGGCTATCCCAAGTGGGCCTTCATCAAATCCCAAAAAGACCCAGCAGGAGCTCCTCCACAACAGAGAAAGAAGAAAACAATAAATGAAACAATGTGGTCATTCCGTACGTTGCAGGATTATCAGAAAAGCTCAGAAGGATCTTCAGCCAACACAATGTATGTGTACACTTCAAACCCAAGAATACACTAAGGCAGAAGCTTGTCCACCCTAAGGATAAAACACCTCGACACAAATTAAGCAACGTGGTATATGCAGTACAATGCAGTGAGCCATGTGCAGATCTGTACATTGGGGAAACAAAACAACCACTTCATAAATGCATGACACAACATAGGAGAACAAACCCATCAGGACAAGATTCAGCAGTCCATCTGTATTTAAAAGACAAAGGCCACTCTTTCGAAGACAGCAAAGTCCACATTTTGTACAGGGAGGACTGCTGGTTTGAAAGGGGTCAAAGGGGCCATATATGTCAAAATTGAACAGTTCTCTCTCAACAGAGGGGGAGGGATATGACATCTATCTTCAGTCTACAACACAGTCCTTTCAACAGTTCCAAGAAGACTCCACATCCATTTGCACTACTCAGGTGACCCCGATGACACAGATAAACCTCCAGGTGGCATCAACAACTTTCTAAAAGAATGCAAATGACCAGCTGTTGCAAGGAGTATAAATCCTTCCATTCCCCACCATCCAGTCAGAGCTGAAGAAGCTTTTTGGATGAGAAGCAAAAGAAAAACAAAGTCCAGTTGCCTCATGAAAAAGCATTTTTGAGTCATTACACAGAATAATTTACAGGCGAGTCCTATGGCAGGTAAAGGGTTTGGAAGGACATCTATGGTCATAAGGTGTTACTGTTGTAAGTCGAGGCACCCATGTAACCAAACTTGATTTTATAATTTTTGCAGTGATCATTAAGTGAATCTGCAGTCACTAAGTGAATACCACAGTCATAAGTTTTAACACATTCTTCCGAATGGGCATTTTTTTCTGGAAATCAACAAAAAATGTTGCAAATTATGACCATATTGCTATGGGTTGTAAAGGGGAGCCAGTTACCAACCACCTGAAATATAGCCATGTGACCATGGGGCTGGCTGGCTGGCTGTCATTTTACGACAGCTAGAAGTGCTTTACAGGCTATAAAGCACCCATTCAAGGCCTGTCAGTGATCTTTATTCCTTTCTGGTTAATTGAATTGGCAGAATACTTATTAGGACACCATTCTATGGTTTCTAGAATGGTAATAGAAATTTGTAAATCCCATAATCCTAATTTGTCCTAAAGGTGGTTCAAAATACCTTTTAATATTCATAAAATCAAACTATGAGTAGAGATCACAATGATTTTATAATCCAACCTTTATGCAGTGTGCAGGAAAATTTGATTCTTCAGATCTGTAGCGGTGGCTTTGCAACTG